TCCTGCTGTCGATTCGCCCCGGGTGCGACAAATACCCCCTAAACCGCTCCGCAAAATAATCAAGGAGGAGAACAGAGGAGCAGGTGGAGGGGGGTTTGGTTTAGTTTTTCACTTCAAGCATACTCCACCACGCCGCCATGACACACCACCGGAAGTTTGAATCCTCCTCTCTCTCGCTCTGGATTCATTCAGTCTGGGTGCTGCGCATGCGCAGAAATGCTATTGAAGAACGACCATTATTACGCGAGGAATATCTATCTATCTATCTATCTATCTATCTATCTGAGTTTGGTGTTTCTGGTAAACTGAGTTACTTTTCTATGCACTGATTTAAAAAAATGTTTTTAGATCTTAAAATGTGCCATTATGTATGGTACTCAGTAAATTAAAGTACTATTGTGGTTTGTCCATTATTTAAACATAACAGAGCAGAGGTCATTCTGGTTAAAATGTGTAACTATATAAATCCTAATAAAGTATAGGCTACTCGTCTGTTTTTCTTGAAATAATTAAACAAAGCTTCTTTGCATTCTTTATTAAGAATTACGATGAACCATAAAATCATCTTAGAGAAATTTTGACATTAAAGCATGAAATATTTCATACAAGTAAGCTAAATAGAATGACCAACACATTAAAATGTAAATTCGTTTTCAAGAATCGGATTACTTTTTCCTTTAACAAAATTGACCAACTATTTTTAACTGTCAAACTAAATTAGTTTGTTTAATTGTGTAAATAGAAGTCCGAAATAATTATCTTAACTAGTGAATCTTTATGGTGCTTTAGTATAGTAGTAATATATTATAGCAACGAAAGGCCGCCGAAGGCTTTAATGAGAAAGAAAATCAGAATTCTACTGCCACCTTGAGATCAATCTAAACACAACGTCAACAGAAAGCTGTATTAGTTAACCTACTTATAGTCATTAGAGGGCGTATGTGTTATCATAGCCTTTTGAAAAATCCAGACTTTTGAACAATAGGCCATATTTATTTTAAGACTTAGGCCCCACCAATTTAGTACAAATTCAGTAAAAAAGATCATTTATTTTTAGGAGTAACAAGATTTTAATATAATGTTCTGCATTTCTCTGTCTAATTCTATCTGCTAAATATGCCTTGCACCTCAAAGATATTTTAACTGTCTGAAAATAATTTTTATTGTAACTCTGATCAGTTTCTGATTTGAAAGCCATATTCCTTAATTTATGAAATAAATTATCAGATTGTTCACTTGCCCTTAAACATCACACCATGAACATGTTTTTGTGGTTATATTTTAATTATTTCATTGCATGGAAGTGAATAAAATCATTAAACAACATGACAGCCAAGCAACCATTTCTCTTTTAACCCAGCAATATAGGAGGAACAGATGGTACAGAAGGTGCTGTGAGCAACTTTCAGCTGCTTTCTATCTTCACAGATAATAAAAATGTTTTTAAAAAGTAATTGAAACAGAAGCTACACAAATTTTACACGTTTAGCTACACGTTACTCCATGATAAACAGATACAGTACTAACAGTTCATATATCATACTGAAAAGCATTTTTTTGTTGTTGCTGGAAATGTATTAAAAGGTTCAGTTGCATGCACTGAATCAGAATCAGAATGAGCTTTATTGCCAGGTATGTTTACACATACGAGGAATTTGTTTTCGTGACAGAAGCTTCCACAGTGTAACAGAATGACAGTGACAGAACAAAAAACACAGATAATAAAAAATAGAACAAGTAAATAAGGAATAAAAATATATAAATTGACAGTTGTATGTGCAGGTATATTACAATAGACAGTTTTTGTATGTACAGGTACTGTATATTATGTGCAAATTTGAGGTGTAGACTGAGTATGAGTGTTAGATAAATAAGTGTATGAGTGAATAAATAGTGTGTGTTCCACAGTTATTGTTAAGTGTTCATGAGATGGATGGCCTGAGGGAAGAAACTGTTCCTGTGTCTGGTCGTTCTGGTGCTCAGTGCTCTGTAGCGTCGACCAGATGGCAACAGTTCAAAGAGGGAGTGTGTGGTGTCTTGTAATTTGTGATTTCTTTTAGACTTTTCCACACTGATTTTGCATTATGAGATACAGCATTCCATACAATACTATCTGTTGTATAGGTCACTGCTCAGTTTGACAAAGGTTATTTTATGCATACAGAACATATAGTGCTGTAATAAAATGTGTGTGGTAGCATTCTATTGCAAACATGGTCTGGATTTCTTAGGACACCTATTTCAGTGATATCTGTCTGGAAGCTGAGACATTGCGTGTGTAACAATCACTTACAGCACCTGTACACTTCACAATAGTTAAAATAGCTGCAGAAAAGAAAAGTATGTGTATATGTTATCACCAGCAGAAGCTATTTGACCAGTTGAATATTTCAAAGCCATGATCAAAAAAAAGTATTTTTAAGCGTAAAATATTAACTTATTTGTGGAGGTTTTAAATATGCACTTCCTATGGATCCTTGGCTTCCACAGAAAACAATTGTAGACCTCCACAAACTTCAATAACATCGATGTCCTCCAGTTTAGTAAAGCGATGCTTGTAAGTGTGTGCTTGCTGGCCATTCACTGACACATCGTACTGCTCTGCTTTGCAGGTGATTTTGATCTGAATTACACATACAAAACTGACAGTAAGATGCTTGCACTGATGTCACAAACAAACATCTCCTCTTAAAGAGACAGTTCACCCAAAAATTTGAATTCTGTCATCATTTACTTGCCCTTGTGTCATTCACAACCCATTAGCAAGCCTAATTTGAAAATGATTTAATCATTTTTTGTCCATTCAAATGTGCAAAAATCTATTACTGTCATACTGTACACTGTCCATTTAAATAGAAAACACATCTACATGTCAGTATTCCAGCCTACCTCAAAGAACTCTCCATTTTTAAATGGGATGTCTTGACTCTTTTCTTCTCTTTCCCAAACCCCGTTCTGCCAGGTACTGCGGACAACTGCATTCTCCTCAAAACGGCATAGGTAGTGAAATGCAATCCCATACCTGTGGCGCAGATTAATCTCCATCCTAATGAAGAATGGAACAGAAGAGTGGTTATGTTCTCATAAACATAAACTGTTTATAATAGTATTTGTACATTTACAACAAAAAATAAATAAATATAAAAATGCTTGTGATGTATGTCAGAAAGAAAGGATTTTTTTCTGACCTTTTACAGTTGGAGTTAGCAATTCCATAAATGACAATGATTTTGCCAGGCTTTAGTCCATCAACCACTTCTTTTTTGTACGATGCCACCTGATTGCAGGAAAAAATTATGAAAGCGTAAAAAGAATGTTTATGAAATTGTAAAATATAGGAAAGTATATAAAATATTAATCATGTTGAATGTTATGCTTAATAGTGGTAGTATATTTTTATTCTAACCACAAGATTCAGATGGCCAATGAAATCCAGCTCCATTCCCTCCCTAAGATGGTGTTCATTTGAGTGAATGGAATACGGTGATTATAGACCATTAAATCTTCCCCATTGGCACTTATCTATGGAGAGCCATTGTATAATAAGCAAAACAGTGGAAATCAATCATTGTTTTCATTCAGCTAGTACAGAAACAGAACAGTAGTGTACTAAATAAAGATTTTTGCCTGTAATTTATGGCTAGAAAGTTAAATATATATATATATAATATATATATTTGTCTTTCAGTTACATCTATACAAACGGCACAACGTAGAAATAATTTTGTACTGTAATGTAAACATGGACATAGCATACTGCAGTGAATAATGAACAGCTGAGAGGCAAACATGCACTTATTGTATAATGCTACCTGTTGTTAGTGTTTAAGTGCATTATTTTATGAGTGACAAACTGTGTTTGTTGAGTGACAGCTTTTGCCAGTTTTATGGAAGAATGAGTTGATTTAAGGTATGTGTGAAGCGTTTTTGTCGTTTTAATGCATTTTGTATGTGAAATTTACTGCTGTGCCAAGATGGAATTTGGTAAATAGAATTAAAGTGACCAAATTGAGAAAGGTGTCCTAGCAATTGTGAAGAAAAAACAAAACAGTAAATTGGCAAAAGACCTGCCATAGTAATGAAAGAGGAGTCATAATCTTACCTGCCAGTCATGTTTGGAGCTTGACTGAATGTCATTTTGGGTAATTTTACAGCCAAATAAATGACTTTTAAATAATTTATACCTTAAATGCCTGTGTGGTGACAAGGATCTTGATGGTGAACAGTTGGCCTCGGAGGAGAGGAGACTTAGAAGTGGGTTGATCGGAGTCCCAACTACCGTTTTGGAAGGTCTTGTACACTATATGTGGGTGGTCATTCTCAAAGTGTGGGCTAATGCACAGAGCAGTTCTAGCAGCGGAATGAGAACCATCCTTAAGGTTGATATTTGATCTGCAGAACACAATGAAAACTGTATACAAAACTAGCAATGTCCATGGTAATATTCCTTTAAATAAGACAAAGACACTAAGATTAATTTGTCCTTTTAGATGAACAAGAAAAAATACTCACATGTTAGCATTTGACGAAATACGTCCAATTATAATAACAGTCTTCCCTTCCTTCAAGCCCCCCATGATTGTAATCCCCCCAGTAATTGTGGACTGTGTTTGAGATGTGAATACAGTAAGCATATTTATGCAATATCACATTATAACTATGATAAATATCTGGGAAATAAAATAATAAAAGGACTTAATTTGACAAGACACCCAAAAAATTGCTGCGCATAGCTAAATCTCCAAATCTTTCATTAATATTGGTATATGAACATGCTGATGTGAAGTATTTAGTTAGAGTCTAGTATTAAAAACGTTACGTACCGGTTTGTAAAAAGTCTGTTGCTGAGAATCTGCCATTCTGCCAATTCTTGTTTTTCTGCAGTCTCAATGCAAATCTTCAGCTGGGTATTCAAGACCAAGGTTGGAGCACCACGGATAGTAAAGCATGATGAGTCGTCTTAAATATAGCTGTGATTTTAAGACCGCCCATATATTATACACATGCTATACATAAGACTCTAGGGAGATATATCTACCTGAAAATTACCTAGAAATATTTTCTACCAGTAAAATGCAAACAAGTATAAAAAGGAGATAATAGTCCAGAGACAGTCATGTAGACTAGGCTACTGTTGGCGTAACAGTGATAATGAAGAACATGATGCCTGATAATATGACCAAAGAGATGCATGAGAGCCCAAGAACCACAAACATTGGTGAATATCTAAGATACAGTGGAATATTTGTCCTTTTTGAATAGATATACCTATACCTGGAAATTACCTAGAAATATCTGCCATAAAATGCAAACCTATATAAGAGCAGATAAAATACACCCTCAGGAAAAACGTTGCAAAAGCTGTCACCCTTTTAAAAGGTATAGGCTACTAATGTGCCCCTTTTAAAAATTGTGGATAGCAACTGCATAAGGAGAATGATCCCCTAACGTTCTCCTAACATCAAAATTCCAGTAACATTTCTGTAACCATGCTGCAATAATCTGCAAAAAACCACCTCAATAATCTGAATTCATAAGACTGAATTCTCTTCTAATATTTTAGATTATCTATCACTGTAACTGAAAACTGCCCAGATCCTGTGTTTCCAAGTTAACTAATAAATAAAAAAATAAAAAAATACATAACTTTATTGCATTTTGGGAGATAAGCAACTGCTTATTAGGGCATGTTGTTGGTAAACACCAAAAATACTGTGATCAAAAGCACCACCCATTTCACTATTTTGAATCATAAAAACAGGTTCGTTTTTCTTAATTTGACATAATTCATGACATTTTGGACAGATAATTATGACTGCACAGTACGTAAATTTTTTCAAAGCACATTTTATCAAATCCAAGCCACATCAATCATAATAACTATTATTAATTTTGTATAGAATTGATAATAAGTGATATATAATTGCTGGAAAGTAAGGGCTGGAAAGTCAAATATTATTAAATGCCCATATGAGAAGGATGCAATACTAGCAAAAAAAAAAAGAAGGCAAAATTAAGGTGTGGCCATTGGTTAAGAAATGTTCATTGGGGCAGCAGGGTCACAGAAAAACATACAGAGACTAGTGCCACCTTTTTCCAGAACTGCAAACTACCTGGAGTCTCCAGAAGTAAAAGGTGTCAGGTTCTCAGAGACTTCGCTAAGGTAAAGAATCCTGAAACATGACCTCCACTTAATAAGAATCACAAGCTGAACTGTCATGAAATGTAATGAAAGCAACAAATAAAACTTTTTAATATATCACCTATTGTGTTTTCATATAATAATATTAGATAGCTATTAGAGTAATTAAAATTAAGCATACCTCTACTGCCACCATGAGATCAATCTAAATACAACGTCAGTATTTATTATAGTTAACCCACTTATGATCACTAGAGTGCGTGTGTGTCATCATGACCTTTTGAAATGTTCAGACTATTGAACAATGTATTTATTTTTAAGTCTCAAGCCCCACCAATTAATTCATTATAACCATTTAATTTTAAGGAATAGCACGATTTTAATATATTTTTTTGCATTTCTCTGTCTTGCTAAATGTCCCTGTTACCTCAAAGATATTTTTACTGGCATTAAATTGATTAGAAATGCATTCTTAAATTGTTCACTTGCCCTTAAAAACCACGCCACAAACTTGTTTAGATTATTTTAATTATTATTTTAATTGGATGCAAGTGAAAATAATCATTATACATGGTGGCACCGTCTTTAAAAACAATATTGAAGGAAGATGTCAAAGTGCTGCAAGAGATTTTTTAACTATTTTGCTAATGTCAACAGCACTAAAATATTTAAATATTTTCACAAGTGTTCTTCGCCTTCTGTCTGTATAAATTTCTTATAGCACCTTAAATTTCACAATATTTAAAGATAGCGTTGATCCTCTGATGAAATGCTGTTGAGTAGTTTTCTACTTCCACCTTGATTTAAATGTAGATCTATATTCAGCAAAGTGCAAAAGACTGCAAAAGTATTAGATATGTAGTTAGAAAGTTATATTTCTATATCTTATCATCAGCGTAAGATATTTGCCCAGTTGAATTTTGCAAACCAAATGAACAGAAAGTGTATTTTTAAATATAAATTTATTTGTGGACCCTGGATCCTTGTTAGACGTGCACAAAAATCAGCTGCAGCTGTCCATAAACTTCAAAGACATCGATGTCGTCCAGTTTAGTAAAGCGATGCTTGTAAGTGTGTGCTTGCTGGCCATTCACAAACACAGCATAATGCTCTCTACTGCAGGAGATTTTGACCTGAATCACACAAAACAGTAAGATCATGTCACAAACAAACTTCTACTCTTAACTCTTAGAGGGACAGTTCACAGAAAAAACACTGAAATTCTATTATCATTTTCTCGCCCTTGTGACATTCCAAACCCATAAGCCTTTTGTTCATTTTGGAACATAAATTAGATATTTTTTATATTAATTTAATATTCTTTTTAATTTTGTCCATTTGACAATACTGGTCTTTTTTGTTTGTTTTTGTTCCAGAGATGGGTTTGGAGCAATATGAGGGTGAGCAAATTAATTTTATTTTAACAGAATCAAGTAGACACTTCAGATTTGTATCAAACATAAAACAAAGAAAAACATTTTACACTATCCATTTCAACAGAAAAGTAGGTACCATAAGGATGTGAGTATATGCCTACCTGAAATAGCTGACCTTTTAGAAAAGGCACACCTCCACTCCTTTCTTCTGCCCCCCATTTCCCATTCTCAGAGGTATTACAGACAACCACATTCTCATCAAAAAGGGATAGGTAGTGAAATGCAATCCCATACCTGTGGCGCAGATTAAACTCTACCCTAATGAAGAATGGACCAGAAGAGTGGATATGTTATCAGAAACCGTATGTTTGTACACTGGCAGCTTTTAAATGTTTTTGAAAGAAGTCTCACCAAGGCTCAGTACTATTATGAAAATATTATTGCAGTTAAAAACAGCCATTTTGTATTTGCATATATTTTAAAACTTATTTTATTCTTGTGATGGCAAGAATAATTCAAGCCATTATTCAAGTCCTTAGTGGCATGATCCTTCAGAAATCATTTTAATATGTTGATTTGTGGATCAAGAAACATTTCTTATTATTATCAATGTTAAAAACAATTGTACTGCTTAACATTTTATGGAAGCCAAGATATACTATACCATTCAATGATTTGTGGTATTTACAATAAAATATATTCAAATAAAAAAAGTTACAATACTGTTTTTACTGTATTTTTGATCAAATGCAGCCATGGTGAGCATAAGAGACATGCTTAAAAATAATAATTTTGGCCAAAAATCTAACTTTTGGACGCCAGTGCATGTTTACAAAAAAACATTATATTTAAATGTGTTTATGTATGTTTATGTAAAAAGTGTATTCTCCTGTGTGTAAGGTTTTTATCTAACCTTTTAGAGTCAGTATTAGGAACTCCATAAATAAGAATGTTATTGCCAGGCTGTAGCCCACCATTGATCAGGGTTTTGTATGGGACCAGCTGTTTAGAGTAAAAGGATTCTTATAAAATTGTGTAATATAGAACATATAGGGCTCAACAATATGAATGACAGGCCAGTCATCACATAATGGTAGTGTATGTTGTTGTTTTTTTTCTAACCAGAGAATTCTGGTAACCAATGAACTCCAGCTCGATGTTTTGGTCCACTGAGATGGTGTTGACTTGAGTGATTGGAATACGGTGTTCATAATCCATTACATGTTTCCCATTGGCACTTATCTATGGAGAGCCATTGTATAATAAGCAAAATAGCAGAAAACAATCATTGTTCTCATTCTGTACATCCAAATAAATGGCTAACTTTTAACTTTTGCAAAGAGTGCATACCTTGTATGCCTCCTTGGTGACAAGGATCTCGATGGCGAACAGTTTGTCTTTGACGAAAGGAGAGTCAGGCGTGGATTGTTCAGAGCCCCATGTACCGTTCTTGTAGGTGTTGTACATTACATGTGCACTGTCGTTCTCATAGTGCGGGTTTATGTGCAGAGCAATATCAGCCTTAGAATCAGAACCGCACTGAAGGTTCACATGTAATCTGCAGAACACAGAATGAAAACTGGGCACAAAACTAGCCACGGTAATGGTAACATGCCATTAAATAGATTAGTTTGTCCTTTAAGAGCAACATGAAAAATAATAATGACCTGCTGGCATCTGGCAAAATCCGTCCAATTATGATAACACTCTTCCCTTCTTTCAAGCCTCCCTCGATTGACATAACTGGGATTGTCTATATTGGAGATGTGCATACTGTAACCATATTTACGCATTTCTGTTTTAAATATCAATGAAAATAATGATAAATATCTGGCAAAAATAATAAAATAACTTATTTTGACAAGATACACCAAATGTGGCTGAATACCTGAAACAGGTCCAAATATGCCATGAATATTGCTGTAAATATAGATAATTGTCTAAAACTATACATGAAACCTAATTATAGAGGCTAACATTAAAAATATCACTTACTGGTTCATAAATTGCCATCCTGCTGTTCTGCCGGTTCTTATTCTTTAGCAGTCTCAATGCAAATCTTCAGCTGGGTATTAAAGACCAAGGCTGGAGCACCAAGGATGGTAAAGTATGATGCAGAGTTGTGATTTTAAGCCGGCCCATATATTATATGTAGTTAATTCACAATTCTGGGTAGATATACCTACCTGGAAATGACTGAAATCAACCTTGAAATATTGTCTGCCAGACAGCTATAATGAAGACAATGGTAAAGCAAATAACAATAGTCCAGAGACAGTCATGTAGGCTACTGTTGGCGTGACAGTGATAATGAAGAACATGATGCCAGATAATATGACCAAAAATGCATGAGGGCCACAATCATTGGTGGATATGTATACAGTGGAATATTTGAGCTTTTGGGGTAGATATACCTGCCTGGAAATTGCCTGGACGTGCTGTCTGCCAGATAACTAAAATGCAAATCTGGAAAAGAGCAGATAACAGAGAAAAATTTACAAAAACTGTCACTGGGGAAGGACCCCTTCAAAAGTGCCATAGGCTACGAATAGGCCTACCTTTAGGGTTAAATAAGGTACAAAGAAAAACCGATTGAAAAGGCACCAAATAATGCAACAGTCAAAACCAATGAAATCCAAAGGAATTACAATACTAAGTCATAAAAATAAAATTCAATATATTAAAAGAATTCTAAAAAGAGCTGTCTTCTATGGAGGACGAAACCTGCAAAAACAATAAATAAATAAATACACAAATAAATAAATGTGTGCATAAATACACGTATTCTTGTTTAAATACATAAATAAATAATTAAACATGTGATGAAAGTAGGCAAATAAATCAAATAAATTGGTGGGCAAATGGAAAATGTTTAAGGAAATGCCAAACTCATCCTAACTATTTTCCTTTGATCACTCATTTATTTCTGCATAAAAATGATCTTACACGTACCTAAACAACGAGCATGTAAAACCATCCTAATAAACACTAGCTGCCATCAAAAGGACGAGCCCTTATTCCACGGATAAAGTGAATAATCTCACGATGACCATGGGATACTGATATTACAGTTGTCTCTAGCTCAATCGGGTTACAAAAAATGACGTCAGGAAACGACACTGGCCATTTCGTTGGGTCGTTTGTAAAGTCACGGATACTTTACGGACAATACAGCTCAGTTTTTTATGTATCTTGCTCTGTTGAACGGAAAAAGTGACTTTACGTAGGCCATACTGGATTAACACCATGCATTTCCTGTCAGCGGGAAAGGATTGTTTTCCCCTTGCTGCGCCCCCAGCTGTGACATGACCCCGACCAAGTCCATAACTGACACCCTCTCATTAGCATGTTGTGCAGAGGAAAAATAAATGTGGAACTACATTCAGAAATAAATGAGTGATCAAAGGAAAATAAATAGGATGAGTTTAGCATTTCCTTAAACATTTTCCATTTGCCCACCAATTTATTTTATTTATTTGCCTGCTTTAATCACGTTTAATTATTTATATATGTATTTAAGCAAGAATTTGTGTATTTATACACACATTTATTAATTTTTGTGCATTTTTTTTTGTGTGTGTGTATTTATTTATTTATTGTTTTTGCAGGTTTTGTTCTCCATAGTCTTCAGTGTTGTAAAAACTGTCCTCTCAATTTACATTTTTGGTTCTGGTAATCTTAGGAAACTAAGTTTTTGGTTCTCAGAGCATTCTAAAAACAGAGCGATTTTAAAACGCCCTATACACGATACTCTATAAAAAAAGAAACGCTTGACGCGAACGCAAAGAGCAAACACGTCCGTCTAGCGCGTGTTTACATGGAAAAACAATGAAAATGTGGCGCGGTGTAATGGAAAAACGCTTCAATATCAAGTTGCATATATCTTTAGAAAGAGCCTAGGTAAATATAGGCCTACCTACTTGTCGAGTACAGTTTAAGTTTGCTAAAATAAAAAACAAGTTTGTAAACATTTTTTTTTAGAGATAATTAACTGCTTATTTGGGCTGGATGGGAAACACCAGAAATGACTTAATTGCAATCATCAATAGCACCATTCATTTCACGATTTTCAAAAAATACAAACTTTTTTTATACTTGGCATAATTAATAACATTTTGGACAGATATATAAGAAATAGGATTCGTTGGAATATTTTGATATAATATGCTGTTTATTTGTATTAGAAGTGTATTATTTTAAACATGCAGCAAGAGTGATAGAGTTTCGAGATGATTATACAGAAAAAGGCAACTACATATTGTAATACCATATACAAAAGAGAATTGTACAGAAAGCCAAACCTAGTAAGAAGGGTTTTATGTTAATTCAAAATAGCAAAATCACAGTGCCGTTCATATTTACAGACATACATTTTTTTCTGTACATCAAAGCAATACTACTTTTTAACAATTTGCAATGCTTTCCCTTATCTTTCTTTTAAAAGTAACTTAAAAATTAAACATCACATATCTCTGTTAAGCCTGCACTAAAGTCAGCTGATCTCCACAAATCTCCAAAATATCAATGTGCTTGTGTGCCATTGACAAACACATTGTAATGATGGGGATTGCAGGAGATGGTGATAGCCTATTATTTTCAACTCACAATGACAGCAACAATAAAGCAATACATGTTCGTGGATGTACGCCTGGCTACCTGAAAAAGCTGTCCTCTTTGAAATGGCAAGAATTAATTCAAATCTTATTAGAAATGCAAACAGAGTTAACTGAGAAAAACTGCAGGAATTATTGCAAAATGAGAAGGACAGAAAGGTGAATGTGGCCATCAAAGGTCATCAACACATGTATTCATGCTAATATATATATATATATATATATATATATATATATATATATATACACTTTTTGCCAAATCCAAACCACATCAGTATTATAACTACTATTAATTTTGTATGTAATCCTTTCTAAGTGCTATATAATTGTTATTCAGTACTATAGAAATAGCAAAAGTACAACAAGAAATCTTAAATGGGACAGTAGGAACACAGAAAAACAGGTTGAGAAGACAAGATATGAACTGCAAAAGACTTTAAGAATTAAAGTGAAGAATTAGGTGTTAAATCAAGAATTAAACCATCAGAAACTCTTAACTCTCCAGTGCCACTTTTTCCAGAATTGCAAACTACCTGGAGTTTCCAGAAGTAAAACATGTCAAGTTCTCAGAGATTTCTAAGGCAAGGAATCCTGAAACATGACCTCAACGTAGGCTAATAAGAATCACAAGCTGAACTGTCATAAGATGAAAGCCACTAATGTTTTAATATATCACCTAGCATATTGTGTTTTCATATAATAATATTAGATAAATAGCTGTTAAAGTAATGAAAGCAAAGTAATGCTAATTACAGTAATAAAAGTTAAAGGGTTAGTTCACCCAAAAATGAAATTAGGCTGTGTTTTACTCACCCCCGAGGCATCCTAGGTGTATATGACTTTCTTATTTCAGACGAATCCAGTCGGAGTTATATTAAAAATTGTCCTGGCTACCACTCAGCGGGTGTTGCAGTGCATCAGTCCAAAAGTAGTGAAATAAAAAGCACCCAACCATAAATAAAAAGTGTCTCACACGGTTCCGGGGGGGTGAACAAAGGCCTGCTGTAGCGAATCGATGCGTTTTTGTAAGAAAAATATCCATATTCAAAACGTAATAATCACTTTAATCTAGCTTGCGCCAACAGTTGTACACGGAAGGAGGATGACGTAAGATGTCGGCATTGCGAATGCGTCGGTGAGTCTCGTGAAAACCAACGTTTGTTTACAGGAGCAAAGGAAGCAAAGTTTCCTTACTTTAGCAAAGGAAAACCAGTCTCCTCTTGGCTTATATCGAAATCCTCTGACATGCTTCTTTACAAATCCTCGTTTTGTACTTCTAATTAGTGACCGTTGTTTTGTTTTGATCTCTCCGCTGTGTTTCCGCGTGCGTCACTTCTGAGCGGAGCATGCGCAAAGCCGACCTCATACGTCATTCCCCCAGAACTGCTTCTGTTTACAACAGTGAGCGCAAGCTAGATTAAAGTGATTATCACGTTTTGAATATGGATATTTTTCTTACAAATACGCATCGATTCGCTACAGGAGGCCTTTGTTCACCCCCCAGAGCCGTGTGAGACACTGTTTTTTACGGTTGGGTGCTTTTTATTTAACTTCTTTTGGACTGAAGCACTGCAACACCTGCTGACTGCAATGATAGAGCTTGGAATAGCCAGGACAATTTTTAATATAATTCCGACTGGATTCGTCTGAAAGAAGAAAGTCCTATACACCTAGTATGCCTCGGGTGTTAGTAAAACACAGCCTGATTTTCATTTTTGGGTGAACTAACCCTTTAAGGCCTCTACTACCACCATGAGAATCAATCTAAATACAGTGTCAATAGAAAGCATAATGAAGTAGCCTATTATTATAGTTAACCTACTTATGATCACTAGAGGGCGTGTATGTCATCATGACCGTTTGAAATTTTCAGACTATTGAACAATATATTGTTAATACATATACATATATATATACATATACATATACATATATACATATATAT